TTTTCATTCAATTTTTAAATAATTTAACTTATTTTCTCCATTTTTCATTCAGTAGCAAGTTATTCAGTATCCATCAGTTTAATTACTTTCTGCTGCTGTTGACATCCAGCTTTAATCCATGATGATCAGGTAGGTGGCAGAGACATTTTTCAGTTTTCTTATATCTGGGGGGACTTGCTTTGTGTCCTAGTATGTGGCTAATTTTGGAGCAAGTCCCATGAGTTGCTGAAAAAAAGTGTGTTCTTTAGTGTTCAGCTGGCATGTTCTGTAGATGTCTGCCAGGTCCATTTGACTGATGATGTTATTTAACTTCAGCATTTCTATAGCTTCTGTCTGGATGACATACTTATTGAGAAAGCGGGGAATGGTGGTCACCCCACTACCACTGTGTGAGGACAAATATGTGGTTTTACCTATGGTAATATTTTTTTATGACCTTGAGTATCCTTGTGTTTGGTGCATAACAGTTTACAACTGCAGTATCTTCTTGGTGGGTTTTTCCTTTAAAGAGTATGTAGTAGTATCTTCCCTATCTCTTGATAGCTTTGGTCAGAAGTCTATTTTGTCTGATATTAAAGTACACCTGCTTGCTTCTTGGGTTCATGTACTTGGAATTCCTTTTCCATTCTTTTATCCTGAGGCGATATGTATGTATCCTTGATGGTGAAGTTTGTTTCTGGCTTTCATCAGAAAGATGGATTCTGTTTTCTAATCTAACCTATCAGTCTGTTATCAATGAGCAATGTTTATTGATTTCTGGTCTTTTGTTAGGATGTGAGTTTCCCACCCACCCTCTTTGATGAACTGTTCTGGGATTATTTTTTACTAGTGTCTATTTTGATGTGGTTAATCTCCTCAGACTGAAGTTTTTCTTATAATGTTTTGTGTAGAACTGGATTAGTAGATAGGGATTTCTTAAATTTGGTTTTGTCCTAGAATGTGTTTCTTTTTCTGCAGATTGTGATTGGTAGTTTTGCTGGATATAGTAGTCTGGGATGTTATCTATAGTCTCTCTGAATTGTGGAACTTCTGTCCAGGACATACTGGCTTTCAGAGTGTCCACTGAGAAGTCAGATTATTCTAATATGCATGCCTTTACAATAATTTTTAAGACTTTAAAATGCCTTTATAATGCTTGTAAAGATATGACTTTTATAAGATTGCTCTTTTTCCCTTGCAACTTCTAATATTGTTTCTTCTGTCTATTCAGGATTTTGATTATTATTTGTTATAGAGGAATTTTTTTCTGCTCCCTGTCTATTTGTTGTCCTGTATGTTTCTTGTATTTGGACAGGCACCTCTCTTTAAATTGAGTCGTTCACTTCTTCCTTGTGGTAAAAAGTCTTAGCCTGAGTGGCACATGCTTGTAATTACAGTAGTGGGGTGGGAGGTGAGGCAAGGCAGATGGATCTCTGTGAGTCTGAGACCAGCCTGGTCTACACTGAGAGTTTCAGAACAGCCACAGCTACAGAGAGAAACCCTGTATAAAAATAAATAAATAAAAATATTTTTCTGCCTTGATCAGATTTTTTGGAGGTTTTGTGATTGGTGTTGTTTTTGTATTTTTACTAAGTTTGACATTTTATTTGACTGACTGTTTATTTATCCTATCTTGGCCTCAAATTCTTCAGTGTCTCATAATCTGGTCATGAGGATTAGTTCATGGTTTATATTTGACACTCTAAGTTTAGCTCCAGTTTTAGTTCCGTTTTGGGTTTTCTTTATTTTTGATTAATTAATGTTTTCATGGGCACTGGTGTTTTTCTTTCATGTATGTATGTGTGAGGATGCTGGATGCTTTGGAACAGAGTTACAGGTACTTGTGAGCTGCCATGTGGGTGCTAAGAACTGAACCTGGGTCCTCTGGAAGAGCAGTCTGTACTCGTTCCTACTGAGTCAGCTCTCCAGAAGTTTGGGTTTTCTTTATAATTCTATTTCTATGTTCAGGTCTTAAAAGTTTTTGTTGATTCAACTTTTTTTGTTTACATTGTTTAAGAAGGCATTTTATACCCTTTTTAAAGATCCTTGAACATATTCATGATTGTTATTTTTAAGTCCTTATCTTATTGACACAGCCCAGCCTCAGGAACTCCAGGGCGTTCAGCCCTGAGGACTCCATTCCATCTTGACTAGAAGTCGGAGAGTTATTCTTGCTCCTAAAGGCCAAATAACAGGATGTTTGGCCAAAGCCTGTATTAATAGGTGTTTTGAGAATTAAAGAGGTGATTAACCTTGCTTGTTCCTTGAACTATGATAAGGAAGTCTTTTTGCTCTTCCCTCCTCCCGGGCCACTTTGCTTTGGATATAAAAGAGCTATGAGAAATGAATTCAGGGCTCCTGCAGTATTTGCTCAGAGGACTCTTGAATGTAGCCAATGTCTTCTTCTCTCTCTCTCTTTTATTTTTCTTCTTAATTCTCACTTCCCTATTCAGGTACTGTGCCACATGCCAGCTGGCTGACACAGTTGCAAGAGGGATTGTGGAGTTGGCAAGGGAAGGAGCGGACTAACAGACCTGAGGGTGAGTCAGGATGGATGCTACTTTATTAAAGAAAAAAAGCTACACCTTTTCTACTCTATAACTGCACAATGGTTTGACTATAGGCATGATGGAAAGCAGACTCACAGATTCAGGGATGAAAGCCCACCATTAACTTTATTACAGCCTTTCTCCTGAGACAAAAGCATTACAGCAAGTTTCCAAATGCTTGTTCTCTGCCTGTACCAGGAACCTTCATACTTTTATGGAATGGCCACAGGTTCCTCCTGCCAGAGATAAATAGAATGACTGCTTTTTGCAAGTAACTTTCCTCAAGCCCTAAGAGAATGGTAGTCCTTATCCAAATGCATGACTTTGGAAGAAGGACATCCTCTGGGCACCAGACACTCTACTACACTAGGAACAATTTTTGTCCATCTTGGGACATCATGCAGTGTAAGCACTCAGCTATGCCTTATTTCATTCCTTCTTGTCTTGGTCTTATATGGACCTGATTCCCTCATACACTCCCCAAAGGGTAGGTCATGGTGTCTTACCCTTTTTCCATTAAACTTTACCGTTCTGAGTTCTATATTTATTAATTGAACTCTTGCCCTTAATGGCCTTAGGAGCTCCTCCAGGCTCTGGGGCTGGATTGTACAACTCATGGTTGGGGTCAGGGAATGCCAATTAGTAAAGCTCTCCTTTACTGTTCTTGGTGTAATGAGGGGGACACAACTTTGATTCCTGTAACTCATATTGTTCCATAGTGGTGGGAGGCTGTCATTGTATACATTTTCATCTTTCACCACAGCCCCACATAATTTCTAAGGAAGAGGCCTAAGGAACTCAAATAATATAGAATGAGAATCGTTGAAATTAAGGCAAAAACTCTTACTGGAGAAGTGTGGTCTGCAATGTCTAAATGCTGGAACTTTGTCAAGCAGCATTGGTTACCAATCACCATGCCATCCACAATGTTTCAGCTTTATTGCATTTCTAAAGCCAGTTCCAGTAAGGGTTACTAGCTCCTCGAGAAGACATGTTGTCTTACCTGTCCATGTAGGCAATGGAGATATGATAGTTGAGATGCCTTAGGGTAGATATCTGATCTGGTCCCTGTTGGATGGATATTCTGTTCTTGTTTGCTGTTGCCCGCTCTGGGTCCTAGGCAAGTGTGATAGCTGTGGGTAGAGAAGGCTTCTAGAGGTGGGTAGGTGATACAAAGGAAGGGAGATGGGCTATGAGGAAAGACTTAGAGGGGCAGTGGAAAGAGCTAAGGAGCCTGTGGATCCCCACCTAGAGGCATAATCCCCAGGGTGGAGTAGGAAGTAAGGGCTCCTGTATTTCAGCCCAGCGATACCACTGAGGGGTCCCTGGGAAAAAAGAGGTTTCTCTGTGTCATTGGCTGACACGAAGGGAAGGCTGTGAGCATCCAAGGAAGAGTATAATTTATGTGTGTATGAGTATTTGGATGCAGTGCCCCATGTAGGCAAAAGAGAGCGGCAGATGCCCGAATATTGGAGTTTAAAATGCCAATGAGGTGCCACACGGGTGCTGAGAATCTCTCCAGCATGACAATCCCTTTAGAAATTGAAAATAGACCCACAGAGCCATCCCTCTAGTGGCCACAGTAGTGGAATGAAGGAATTCTGAGACATTTGCTTGTTCACAGAAACGGATCTCCGTCTTCTGAGATGCTCACCCCTTCACATCCACGGAAGGAAAATTCTTTCTAGAAATTAAGAAACTGTAATTTATACCCCTTGTGATTTTCTGTACTCTAGTGGCTGTCATGTTCGCCTTTCATTAAAGAGGTCCTCATTTCGAAACCGGGCGGAAATAAGATTTTTTCTTCTTACTTTCTTTTTCTATGTTAAGATTCACAACTCACTCCATAAACTTCTCAGGAGTTAGCACATAAAAAAATCTCAGATTGGAGTGTTTTGACCTTGTCTGTCGTCCTTTCCAGGACCCAATATGGCAGGTACTTTTGTGAACTCAAATTGGTCCAGTGGGCACACAAAGATGTACAAGGAGAGACAAGTGTCGGGGGATTAGCTCAAATGGTAGAGCGCTCGCTTAGCATGCGAGAGGTAGTGGGATCGATGCCCACATCCTCCAAGTTTTATGTTGCCATTGACAGCCACTCGGCATCTACAGTGAAGATCAAAACATGGGGATATCATGTCTCCTTACAGACACGGATAACCCACGCTTATGGTCACCCAGGAAGTCAAATGGTGAAAGAGAAAGCATGCTGTGAAAGAGAAAGCATGCTGTAGTAATTGTGAGGTGGAGAAAGACTCGGGTTTCCTGTTGTCTCCATCTGCTTCCAGATTGGATTCTTCTAGAAGTCGACTCCTTCCATTTGTGCTCCCAGGACACTTAAAACCACAGAAATAATACACAGCTAGAGGACATGGGTCAAAAGGATGCTGTCCTTTGAAAGTGTTATGATTAAATGTTTCTTCTCTGTATCACTTTCTCTTTGGGCTTGTTGAATAAAAGAAACACTTAGCCTGGCCCATACGGGGATCGAGCCCGCGACCTTGGCGTTGTTAGCACCACGCTCTAACCAGCTGAGCTAACCGGCCAACCGACACGAAGGTTCCCGCTTCCTTTCTACGGAATAGCAATTATCAATGGATTTCCAAGGTGTGTGTTTGTTAAAGTTTTCTGAAAACAGCCTTGACCCTCACAATAGTCTAAGGTTGAACAATGAAAAGAATGTAAACATCACATTCCACTGCTTGCCGACCCAGTTTTCTCGCACCATAGACAAGCCCCATATGATTGCTGAGAACAAGTCGCCCTCCCTCCAGCTGCAGAAGGGAAGACTAGAGAGCAGGTTGAGCTGAGTGCTCTTTAAGGTGGTTGTTTAATTAGCTTCCGGGAGATCTCAATTGCAGACTTTCTTCTAAAACTGAAGCTTTACTTGGACCGCAGGAAGATAAAACACAGGATATTGGTGTTATTAACACCACAGTCTAACCAACTGAACTAACCTCCCAGCTAAGTAGTATTCTACAGACGGCCTCTACAGTTAGGAAAAGAAAACAACTGCCAATTGAGGCGGTTTATTATTGTTTTTGTTGTTGTTGTTTGTTTGTTTGTTTGCTTTGTGTTTAGCCCCCCTTTTTTATTGTACATTTTAAGCAGGAAACGTAAAAAACAAACAAACAAACAAACAAAAACTCGCGTTGCTCTAAGTTGAAAGTTTCTCTGAACAGAAGACAATTCTGTACGAGGGCAAGTAATGCGACGACGCAATGATTCCTGCCCGGACAGACTGGCCCTGGACAGCCCAGTCCACTCGCTCAGTGGCCATCCAGACTGCCAGGCTCCCTCTATTCTCACTGAGTTCGCCTCCTGCGCTGTTCTGCCTGTTGCCTCCAAGTGACAATTTGATAGACTTCTCGGTTTTACATTTGTATAATGCTGTCGGGGGGGGGGGGAAGAGGGGTTCCTCCAGGTCACGGGTCTCTGCTGAGCCGCTAGCGCATCGCCCTAGTCTTGCAGAAGCCTGCGCTCCAGGGGCCGGGAGTTCGTGCCCAGAAGATCCGTTAGTTCGCGGCCGGCTGGGCTTTGCCCTCTGGCCACTGTCGGGGACCTGAGAGTCCTGTGTGATGAGTGAGTCCAGGACCAGCGCGCCCCAGCTCCTCATAGGACGGAGTAGTCTCGTTTGTCTTAGGTCTCAGTGAGGCCAAACTCTGCTCAGCTCAAACTTGGATTTACCGTCGGCACTGCTCCAGGAGTTTTGGGGGGGGGGCGCCTGCTCTTCCTGGCCGTTCATAGCTGTCTCAGCGGGGCACGAAGAGGCCAGAGCCGGCTGCCCTGTCCTCGGCGACTGGAATCGGGGAAGGGCTCCTGGGCTCATTGCGTCCTCCTTTAGGAAGTCTCTGGAGGGGTGGAAAACTTGAGATTCTGAAATGAGGATTTTCAGGTGGCCCAAAAAACATTGACCCTGGCCGTTTCAGTCTGAGAGTCTGCAGATCCTCGGCGACACATGGAACAAACACGAGGCGACTCTCTCAGTCCTGGATGCAGCCGGCGCTGACCCCTGTAGGAACTGATGCCCTGGGGTCCTCTGATCCGGAGGCTGCGACGGTGCTCATCCTGACATCTGAGACAGCCCCTGGTCGCCGCAACCACGAGCTTCCGTGACACGAAATATCTGTGACAACGAAGTCGCCCGCGACCTCGGAGCCTCTAATCGAGGACGCCAATGCAGGGCATCAGCCTCCACCTTCCCAGTCGTTTGTTCTTCCAACCCCCTCTGGTGCAAGGAGTCTGTTGACCCTGTTCACGAGGGACCGACACGCAGAGCTCCGGTTCCCCATCTGGTAGCCTTGCTAAGGCAACAACCACAGAAGGAGACACAAACACAGGCGGCTTCGAAAGAGCGCGACGCGTGACGCACAGCTCCGAGAACGTCACAAGCCACTGCACCACTCTAAACTCAAACGGCTTTACCGCGGGTCCCAGGGCCCTGTGTGCGGGGTCTTCATTTCAACGCCGTCCCCGCTGTTGATCCAGTAAGTCCACCGTTAGGAAACCTGCGCGTGCCACAGCCGACAAGGACCTTACAAACTTTCTCTGGTTATGTAACCCATGAAAGCTTCACCCCGAAAGCCCCTGCATTGCCTCTCGGGTCCTCTTCTTCCAGTTTCTCAAAAACTACTGAGATTCTGCGGAGGTGGGGCTCTTGAACACAGCGAGCTTGATTAGGACATTTTAGCGGGACAGTTAATTTCTTTGGGAGATGAGGGAAGAGTTCCTGAAAATGTTGACTCCTGTCCCTGTACGAGGGATGTTATATATGGATATTCTGGTCCCACTGGCATGTGTTAGACAGCACAAATCCGTTCTGTCTGACTACCTGCACAGGAAGTTAACATTCCAAAATATGAGTACTACATTTCCGTTGCGTTGTCTCGGTACTGCTAAACTGCTTGTTAAATCGCATCTTAAAAGGGAACTTCGGATTCCTGTCTGGGATTCTCCTTCGGGGAGACTGTGGAAACCTCAGGTTCGGACTTCAGAGGTCCAGACAGCAGACAGTGGAGCCTTGTAGTAAATTCCCGGGTGTGGGAAAAGCCCCGAATGAGGCCCCTGACCTGTTTGTAACAAGCATTTCGATAGTGAGCAGTGTGGGAGAATAAGGCAACTGGCTTCTTTGGTCGAGTTATTTCTGAATGAAAAGGAACCGGCTCCATATGGTGATTTAAATCTGAAAAGAGGATTAGCCAAAATCTCAATGCTCCAAACAGAGAAGCCAGGCATACCAGATAAAGATGGAGTGACCACCCAGGGCAGCTGACTTGGCATATGTTATTCTCTGGATTTCATCTGCAGTACCACAGTTAATACATCGTGTTTAAAGCCAAAGCCTTGTGGAGTGTTTCGTTAAAGCACAGAGCAGTCAGTGCTCTAGAATGGGGAGAAGGGTGAATGCCAGCCATATCCAGTTCATGTGCTTCCTCCTCCCTAGTCCTTGTTGTGGGCACTCAGCAGAGAAGACTACTACCCCCACACACGGGCTTAAGTTCATTGAAAGTCTTTATTAGCTGGCCGGTGTCTACACCGGGTGTCCTGATCCCAGTGTAGCACTGGGTCTTTCTTAGAGTGAGCTTTAACAACTCGAATCCATCACTCTCGGGCAATTTCATGACTGTTCCCAGGCTCTCTGTCTACTGCTTGTGAAAGTGTATAAAACTAAACATTGTCACATGCACCGTTAGTTAATGGGACCTCTTGACTTGATTCCTAAGCCATTTTCCACCTTGTATTCACAGTCTGAAGTCTGGCTTTCCCACAAAACCACTAATTTTTTACTGAAACTTAAGTAATTCTAAACCTGAGTTGTAAATGCCGTTTTGACTATTCTCATCATCTTTTAGATAATATATCATGCATTCAACTTTTGCTTTTTTTGGATATATACATTTATGCCCAATATATGTATATAAACAATATAATTTAATATGTGTACATGTTATTTTATTCTTTTAACATTTTATAAATTTTATGTGTATCTTTGTACATGTGAGTGCAAATGCATAAGGAGGCCTAAGGGGGATATTTGATTGCCTGACTGGGTGCTGGAAATATATACTGGTAAGCACCTCTACAATGCAGTTTCACATTGTTCCCTGTTCTAAGAAACTGCATGAGATTCTGATGTAATCACAAGCCATGTGACTTAGGGCACTTATTCATAGTGCAGCCAGTGTGCTGCAGAGGGTCTTAGATGTTCATGAGGGCTGACTTGCTTCAGGAGCTCCTGCAGGCCCCTGGCCCTGCCCTTAGCACCTGGGTCTTTCCCCCATCCTATCTCATGCAATTGACTTGACTCTTCTCAACTGAGGGATGTGACTCATAACAGAAGACGCATTCTATTATTTCAGTGAGTCTATACAATAATTCTTTCCCCACATTTAGCAAATAGACTCATTCCTCCTCCCCCAGGCACTTACAGTTCCATGGAAGGTACTTGTTCCTGTCTGTTACCATCAGTCACTCTGAGGTCAATGTCCTCCCACTCTTCCCTAGTGACATTTCTTTCCTAGATAACAGTATATCAGACCCTGCCTCTCCCCCCCTTTTTTTTTCTCCTAAAACTGCATTCCCTTCCATTGTTTCTAAATTACCTGGCTAGCATTTCTTCACCCCACAAATCTTTTTTGGTTTGGTTTGCTTGAGATTGGGTCTCTCTGTCATCTTGGCTATCCTGGAGCTCACTATGTAGACCAGACTGACCTTGTTATTCCACAAATCTTAATAAAGTCCCTACTCTGATGTCATCTATGCTCAGAGGAAAAAAAATGACTGTTTCAGTGTTAAACCAAATATCCTGCTTGGGTGAGAAACAGCTTTGGGAGTCACTGAGCTCTGCCCTCCTCTACTTCCTTGGCACTTGGCTGTTGAGAAAGGCTGTGAGGAGTTCTAGGCAGAGTATGAGGCGTAGTAAATAAAAAGGTAAGTGGAGACAGGAAAGGGAGCAGCAACTTGCCTCTAGGTCCAGCAGTATCCATCTGCCATGTAGTTTGTTTTTCTTTGCTCTGGGAGGTCTTTCTGATCTATGTTGACACATGAACAGAAGTTTTTCTTCTGAAAAATGACAACTATTAAGTGTCACCCTCATGAACTCATGGAATTGGGAGTGAGATGTATTGCAGTGGCAGGGAAAGTAGGAAAGAGAGAGTGGGCAGGGAATATGATAAAGATACATTGTATACCTTAAGCTGACTGGAGATGTCAATTTGACACAAGCTAGAGTCGTTGCAGAGGAAGGAACCTCATTCAGAAAATGTCTCCATGCTATAGGCAAGCCTGTAGAGCATTTTAAAATTAGTGATTGATCGGGGAGGGCTCAGCCCATTGTGGGTGGGGGGTTATCCCTGGGCAGGTAGGTGGTCATGGGTTCTATTAGAAAGCAAGCTAAACAAGCCATGGGCATTAAAGCCAGTAAGCAGCACTCCCCCATGGCCTCTGCATCAACTCCTGCCTCCAGGTTTCTGTTCTGCATGAGTTCCTGTCCTGATAGCCTTTGGTGATAAACAGTGATGTAAAAGCATAAACCAAATAAACACTT